TTGACAAATCTTCCTAAATTGAGCACTGTCATGGACTTGCTGAAGCATGACAGCTCCCTACGTCTGATTCGCTTATTATATGGCCTAGCCTTCTCATGCAGACAATACTTAGCCCAGGGAATGATCCTGTCAATATCAGTGTCAGCTTTGACGCGAGTTGAAGCACTTGTTTCAGTTTTCAAGGGCTCCAATGATAGCCTTCTTGCTGATGCTGCTTCTTATTTGGGCGCTGAACTGCAGCGCTTACCTCACTGTGGTTGAAGCTGCAACTTGGCCAAGGAGGCAGGCTGGCTGCTATTGTTCAAGGATGCCCTTGTATTCCTTCACCCTTCGTGCACCATGTACATGAGCTGAGCAAGTGAGCGGGACGCCATCAAGTGCAGGTACTTTACATCAGTGGATGATCTCAGTTGCCACAATTGCCGAGTGGTACTTTCGCTCGTAGATGTGCAGGGGTGCCAGCCATATCTGCAAGGTGGCCAAAAGCAAAGAACACTTCGTTTCCACGCCAATTTTGGTTGGCAATTACCTTTTCAGTTTCATGTAATTCTGTAGTACCTGTAATTTCTTTGAGAATACTGTAGTCCAATATATCATGTGTACATCAACTATAAACGCCTGTTAAATAGTTCCCCTTAGCTCCTGAATCTTGGTACTATTGTGCAGTTTTTACTTTTTACAATAGTGATAACGTGGTCCATTTTGAAGCATTTTCCCATCTTATTTTGTGCAAATTCGTGGTAACTGGCTATTTTGTCGATTATTGTTGTCTGCTTTGGTTCAGTTGTGCACTTTGCGAGCTCTACAGCCTTTGACAGCAAATTTGTGCAGATTTGCTCCTCTGCGCATGCATATCCACTCGTAGGGCTTGTTTGGATCCCTAACTAAATTTTAGCCGGCTAAATTTAGCTATCAGGGATTCAAACGGCTAGCTAAAAGACCAACTAAAATTTAGCTAAGTTTAGCTACTTTAATCCTGCTAAAGTATTGTTGAGTCTATTATTAGGTGGAGGATCAAAACACCCCAGCTAAAGTTTAGTTAGAAGAACTTTTAGTTGGCTAAAATTTAGTAGCTTTCAAATTTTAGCTAGAGAGCTCCTAATTAGCAGAAGAAGGCACCGTACCAATGATCAATAGGGTAGGACCAAATTTCGTCCTCATGTTTCGTCATGATTCATTTGACTCGCCAAACGACACCATATGCACTGTATAGATTTTTCCTGCACTGTATCCGTCACGATTTGAAAAGGACAGTACAAAGAAACCGATACGCGGGTGGTGGTGGTGTGATGGTGTCGTTTGCTTTCGCTGTCATTTTTAGAAATCGGCCCTCGAGAACGACCTCTGCCTAATCTCTACGCTGTTTGTGCCTTGGAAAATTTTCAACGGAAATTTGTTGTGCGATTTAAACCGTACTCCGTATTTTCCTTTGGAGGTGTATAGTTGGTCAAAAAATTGATGAGTCAGACTCAAGACACTTGAGATGCAGTTACTGAATTAAACTGTCTAGACTGAAGGTTATTGAGTCTGTGTTTTTGTTTAAGGCTCATGCATATAATAGTCTTATCAAATTTGTTCGCTTGATAAAAAAAAAGGTCCGGATGTTCACACTCAAGGTAAAATCTATTCTTTGACCTATCAATCATCACCGAACCCACACGACTCTGTGAAGTATTGAACCTTGAAGCATGGGAGTATGTCACAAGTCATAATTCACGTTGCCTGTTCGGCTGGTTGTTCGGCTGGTATTAAAGCCGGCTGATAAATCGGTTGAAGCTGATTTATTGTAAGAGAGAAATACTGTAGATTCTAGCGGATAAGCCGGCTGATAAGTTCAAGCGAACATGCCTGTTTGGTGAGGCCAGGTGATAAAATGTAGATCGATCGATCAAAGGATATATACAGTTGTATATAAAACAAAACAAGTAGAACTGGTATATTCCGAAAACACCGAGTTGATGATGCAAATGGTGTGACCTAAGGATGCACCGGTTCTCTTCAAAACCGCTGCTGCAACTTGCAGGCTTGCAGCCGTTGTACCGACCTAGTCCATGAGCCAAAAATTAATTTCCATTGAAAACGCCAGCCAAAATACCAAACTTAATACGTAATAATTCCATATAGAGGTGTACGACGGTACCAGACGCGTGCATGGTCCATGGCACCGCAACGAAGCTTCACCAGGAGTTGTTCCGTCTCTTTTCTCAAAGAAAAATGCTTTCACAGAGCAGTTGACCTTGACCAAGAGAGATAGAGACAGAGACTTGAACAGCTATAATAACAAGGACACATCCAGGCATACTTGATGCTCCTGACCAAAGCCAACGCCCAGCGGCGTCTAGATACCAAACCATATACTCGCCAGCTTGCAGTTGCAGTTGAGCTCCCCTCCCCCTGCATATCGCCATTCACCAGCCTGTGCGATCATGGGGCAGGTGTGCCTGCTCCCCGTCGACGAGAACATCCTCATAGCTTTGGTCCTCGTCGCCGTCGCCGTTCTGACGTTCGTCGCCCTCTTGCAGCCCCCGCCGCTCCGCCGCGGCTTCTTCTGAGAGCACGGCCGGCCAGCCCGGCCATGCCGTTGGTCGATCGAGCCCCCATCTCCCTTCCTCTGTTATGTGCGACGTGCGTATAAAATCAGTACAGGTTCGTTGCCATGCCATCCATTTCTCGTCGATTTGGAGTCTAAACGACAGGCTAGGCATGCTTAGTTTTGGGTGAACTTGCATTTTTGTGTGTATGTATGCCGGCTAGCATTTGTTGCTCTGTAACCATCATGGATAGATACAACAGCTTATGTATGTGTATGTGGCTATGGGGACTGGGGTCTTGTGCAATTCATCGTATGTCTGAAAAACGTGAACAGAGTTTTTCCCCTGACTGATGTCACGGCCTATATTTACCAGCAAATATTTGATTTGTTTCTTTTTTTTTTCTTTATTGTGGATGCTAGTTGCGTATTCGATTTGAGCTGAGGGGATATACACATACATGATGCCATGTATATTGTTTGAGCAGAGAGGAGGCTATGAACCGCAGTAGTGTTTGATCAGAGACCTGATAATCCGAACGAGGCAGCATCATCAACCAGCTTGCTTTATGGCCAATTCCCAGCTAAGATTGTTGCACATCTTGTGTTTTGGCATGTAATTGTGCCATTTTTTTCCCGAACACACAAGACAACTGCCTACCTTTGTATTTCTGGATGTGGAAGAGAGAAGGGTAGTTGCGCTGTTCCCATTGTTTTTTCCCAATTATTACACGCATTTTTCTCCTGCATATTTCGGACGGGCGGGGTTGGTTTGTTGTGGCCACGACAAGAATCATGAAGAGCGACGGCAGCTTGAGATCAAAAGAAGGAAAACAAATTCAGCACAAATTTTAGGTTTTCAGTACGTTGTATGCACAACAGTGTTGGTCGGCTACTATCAAGGCCATGTTTGTTCGAGTCGCAGCTTTTGATCTTTTGCCTTGAAAGCTGTTTTTTTCTGGCTTTGGACTGTTAAAATTTTTGCTATTGTCTTTTGTAATAAGTTTTTAGCTTTACAGCACGTCAGGAACTAGAAAAACTCTTCTTAATTCTTTTCAGATTTTAGTTCATTTCATCGTAAGCCAGCTTTCTAACTTTTTAAAAGCCAGCTCCACATCTAGGCCATTTGTTTCAGCTTCTAGCATCTGGCTGGTAGAAACTAGCAAAAAGATGAAAACCTTGACTGAAAAATTATATGACGGTGTTGACACTAAATTGGGCCCAGACCAATTTTAAGAGGCTCATATTTAGTTTTGGCTCAATCTAAGAAAAACTCTATAAAACGACATAATAATAGTATTACATTGATTTTCCAACGGGATAAGATCACCCCTACTCCTTATAAAATAGAGGTATATGGCCAATTGAGGTATCCAACACAATCAATTGAGGTATCCAACATAATCGATATTTTTACATTTATTTATTAATCCTTTTTTCAATTATGTGCCGTTGTTCGTCTCTTGATCCGACGATCAAGGATGGTGTCCTAGGCTTGCCAGCCGATCTAGGGCAATCCGCTGATGTCCTTGCCTCGACGGGGTCCGTCCCGAGCGAAAGCTTCGATGATTCCTTTGCTAGTTTGCTCGGAAACTTGTCATTATTCGTCACACAAGCACGATTGATTACCCTTTGCTAGTTTGCTCGCATTCTTCGTCACGTAAGCGATTGGTTATCGTCACATAAGCCATTGGTTATTTTTTGGAGGTTTGCTCATAAACCTCGCCGTTCTTCACCATGTAAGTGTGATCCTCGCTGCATTCTTCGATCCGTAGTGACCCAGGTAATCTAGCCCTAGTTGGTATGTGACCAATCTCTAACGTTCTTTCGGTCCGTGGCGACCCAGGCGATCTAAACCTAGCTGGTGCGTGACTAATCTTTGCGTCAACAGACGACAATAACAATTTCTGCAGCTAGGATAACACCATTCATTGTAACATTTTCCCATCACAGTCCCGATGAACCTCGGACGCTCCAGATTTGCACCGAAGCACACAAGCTACATGTACAAAATCTGAACATAACACTGGCAAAAAAAGAGCACCGAAGTTTTTAACATGAATGACATAAAAATGTGTATGCTGCAAGTCGTAACACAAACCATTTCATGTATGCCGACAGCGGATCCTATGTTATGTATCCAAAACCGCTGTAACTTTCACTACAGAAAGGTTGTGTACTCTAGGTGCCTATTATGGAGCTATTACATGTATCTATGGAGTGTGGAGTGTCTGTCTATAAAGTTTTATTTACATGTACGCAGTGAAACATGTCTGAGTACTGTAGATTCCACCGGTGAAATCTTTGAAGCGCTCACTCTGGTGAAGCTCTACATTTCCGCTGCACATTATTCCTCATTCTCTTCTAACAATCCTTCTGTATCCACAGTTATCTTTCAAAATGTATGCGAAATAAGCATCTTTGCAATGACATGCCAAAACTCATGCAGAGGTCGCAGTCAGGCTCCGAATCACAATCGCATTTTGCTTGCCTTCTCCTGGCGCCTCCAAGCCTTGGCCCATACATTGGCATCTGCAAGTGCATGCTCCCTATCAGCGCCATTTGGAGTAACTCTTCCCCTTCCTCCACGATGTGAACCATTCCCACTCCAGGAAGTTTCCTTCACTTCAGGCATGACGTGATTTGTCTGGCCATGCATAGACATCTGAGCTCCGTGTTGATTGGCCAATGTGGTGTCCTGGCCAATCTGATCATCCAGAACTCTTGATGTTGAAGGGCCAGCACGGTTACGACGGGCAGCACTGTTGTTCCTGTCATATGTTTGTGATGCTACATAAGAGAGAGCTGCGGCAACTTCCCTAATGGGAGGCCGGTTTTTAGCTTTCTCCTGTAAACACATTGCTGCAATAGCCAGTGCCTGATATAAACCCCTACTTGGGAAGCGGCCCCGCAACAAAGGATCAGCCATCTTGGGAAACTTCTTTTGGTCTTTGAACAATGGACGAGCCTGTACACAGATCAACATAAACTTCAGCGGTTAACATAGATTGTGCCATCAAATGGGAAAATAAAGATGCCTGTATAATTCAAGCAACACAACAGCTTCACTGCTAATGAGTCCTATATAATACCGGTGTTTGGAAATGAGGTAGAGTTCTTGATACATAAAAGATGATCACTTCCAGGGTATTAAGATGCATACAAAATTCAAGACTATTTTTTAACAAACTAACTACTGATTGTCAGAAAATGGTTCACATCATGTAGTTGACAGTTGCAGGTATCTCCAAAACCTAACCCATGTAATGTTAATTTACTTAAATGTAGACAGAAACAGAGGAATAAAAAATATTAACCATAGCCAAAGTTTCGAGACAACAATCTAACAATAAGATGTTATTATTCTTTAACACATTTGATAATTCTTTTAGTTCAATAATTTATCTTCAATACATATTTTAATATGCATCTGATTTTCTTTATACAAAACCAATTATTGGAGCACTTGAATGCATTCTGAAATTAAAGCATACCCACGCAACTAAGTCTTGTTCCTCAGGAGGCCGATCACTGTCTTGTGGTCTTCGACCTGTAATTAGCTCAAGGAAAACGACGCCAAAGCTATAGATGTCAGACTTCACTGTCAGCTGTCCAGTTAAGGCATATTCAGGAGCACAATAACCATGTGTCCCCATGACACGTGTTGTCACATGAGTCTTGTCACCTACAGGACCAAGCTTAGCAAGTCCGAAGTCGGACAATTTTGCATGATACCCTTCGCCAAGGAGAATGTTTGATGGTTTAATGTCTCGGTAAATAACTGGAGGATTTGCCTTATCATGTAGGTATTCCAAACCAGAAGCTGCCCCAGCAGCTATCTTCATCCGTGTTCTCCAATCTAGAGGTTCTTGATCAGGTGCAAGATCTATTGAAAGCAACAATAAATGAATACAACTGGCAGTAAGAAATGGTAAATAGTCACAATAATGATTCAGTGCCAAACTTCAATGTAAACGGCATGTCAGAGGGGTACTTTAATCCTTATGAAGCAAATACTTCAGACATTTTGTTCAACGTATTGGTTATGGTAAACTTAACTAGGTAGCATCTTCGGTCTCAAGTTCAGTTTACATTTCTGTTTTTTATCCCTAATTTGTGATAAGAACTGACAATAAAATCAGTGCACATTATGGGTAGAACAATTTATCTTAACATGTTTTAATACTTAAACAGGCTTGTAGGGAAAAAAAAAGATGCTGCATATGTTGGAAGGTCCTTCAATATACGAAACACCCAGTGTTTTTATATTAACAGAATTATTATGAAAATAAAATTACAAGTAGGAAATTTTAAGTTGCTCCTGATGCTGAGGATATCATACATTTCCAACATAAAACAGTAACTAACCATGTAGATGGTCTTCTAGACATCCCAATGGCATATACTCATAAACGAGCAAGCGCTGATCACCATCAACACAGTAGCCATGCAAATTGACTAGATTAGGGTGATGCAGGAGGTGGAGCATGAGAACCTCCACAAGGAATTCTCTGTTCCCTTGGAACCCATTTAGATCAAGTTGTTTGACTGCAACAACCTGCCATGCAGCAAAAGCTGGAGTGGCATTAGACATATATAGAAAATACAAATTAGGTTACCATATTTTCAACAGCTCACGTTGCTATCAGGAAAATGAAATATTTCTTAAAAGCATTAACAATAAGTATGCAGTGTAATGTTTTCTCACAAAACTGTAGTGAGCTCGCAGCATAACTAAAATAAAACAATGAGAAACATGAACCGAGACCACAAACCTGCCCATTACTAAGAGTTGCTTTGTAGACACAACCAAATCCTCCTCGCCCCAAAAGATAGTCCTCCCTGAAATTTTTGGTAGCCTCAGCAAGCTGACGCAACGTGAAGATTGTTGCTTCCTCATGTCTACCAATTAGCTGGGCTCCTTCCATATGCGCCACTCTCTCAGTATTCAATGGGCTGCTTTCAGAAGATTTTGAGTAGTCCACTGTCAATGGCCCATTGAAAACCAAAAGATACAATAAGTGTCAATGAATAAGAATACAACTGAAGAAAAAAGACCAAACAAGAATAAATCAACAATTTTCTCATAGCTCACCCAACACTGTTTTCAAGCATTTATTTTCTTCACGACTCTTGATTACTGATTTTCTCCACTCGTCTTATGAGATAATAAACGGTAGACATATAAGAGTTTTCACACTCTGATGTTTGATAGCATTTTATTGAAGCCACTAGCTAGAATTTGAAATAATCGAGGGTCGTGTGCATGCCTAATGCATAGTTCAGAATAAAAATTCCTTCTCATATAAAAAAGACATAAGAGTTTTTCAAATATGGGGACCATGGGTGAGGAATTCATCCATGAGGCTGGGTGCCTCGATGGGTGCGAATAGAAAAGGTTGACCTGCTATTCAGAATTAAAAGGTTCGTGATGGCTGAGTATGAGTACAATACTCCCGTAAATAAACAACTAAAAATTGGTCACGCTACAGCTATCAAGTTCACGAATCAGTAGACTTGATCTTATTTTCTTCCTCAGAATCAAACGCCCCTCTATCAGCAAGAACACGTTCAGCTTCACAGGAAGCATGGTACCGGAGTACCAGGGCCTCACCCTCACATACCACGAAGAAGTAAACATACTACGAACAAGTTAGTACCAGAATAAAAGCACCGAGAGAAACGAGTATTTTCTAGCCGCCAGACGAAGTATATACTACAACGAAGACAAAAGCAGGAAACATGAGTGCAAGAAAAAAATTTGAGCCATGAGTATCGCCCATCACCTGAGGCGACTTGGCGATTGATTCTGAACTGCTCCCCCTCCTTGTCGTCGTCGTCCTCGTCCTGAGGACATCGGCACAAGCACGCCAAGAAGGCCATCTCTCATCACCCGAATCAACGCCTACAGCAGGAGCAGAACACGAAGCAAAAATCCCCAATCCTTAGGCTGCTGGGACTGGGATGGGGGCTTTGGGTCGCCGGGATATCAATAGTGGACTGGCGCAGCTGCCAAGAAATGGATCAATTTTCCCAGGGGCGTTCCACCAAATTATCAACTTTGGCACTATGAAAAAAAAAGATTTTACGTCACATTAAACTTGTGGTATATACATAGAGTACTAAATGTTGACAAAATCAAAAACTAATTGCACAGTTTAGTTGTACTTTACGAGACGAACGTTTTGAGTCTAATTAGTCAATGTTTGGACAATTATTACCAAATAAAAACAAAAATATACTGTACCTACAGTACCTTCACCGATTCGGGCGACGCCGAATCAGCCACCAACTAAACGTGCCCAGGTGCGTCCAGAAGGAGAGGGGAAAAAAAGCGGAGAAGACTGAGCCCTGAGGAGATAGGAGGCTAGCAGCGTGCGGCCTAAAGTCTGCTCGCACAAAAGAAAAGAACACATGTTAAAAGAAAAAAAAAACTGACGGAAAGCGGAGGACGAAGGGAAAGCAGAAGTCAGCATCGATGGGATGTCGGGGACTCACTAATCGCAGGATTAACCGGTCAGTTACTAGTGTGGTAAATATTGACCGGTCAGTTAGAAAAAACAAGGAACGGATCATTTTCCGTTAGGTCTTCTTTTTGTTCAAAGGTTTGGTCCATCTCAGCACTACCTAATCTGGCTATCAAAGGAAAAAAACGATTTTTGTATTATGTAAGGACTGACTTTTGTTGGAACAACAAGGGAAAAGGGATTAATGTGCGGTTATATAAAGGCCATTCATTATAGTAAAAACCCACTCCCAGTACAGGAACAGGTTGGTGGGCGCAAACCGAATGAAAAAAGGTCATGCATATGCCTGCAATTAATCCGTATATAAATTTGCCTTTGCAACAAGTCAAGCTTCAGCAGCTAGCGAACGCCGCCGCCGTCGCCTGCAAAAGTCTTTTCCCACGAGGCCACGAGAGCGCTAGGCGCTGGTCAAAAGGGAAGGGTTGGAGCACGGTATCACAGAATGCATAGGCCCTGTTTGCCTCGCTGAAACTTGGTTGAAATTTGCTGAAAACACTATTCTGACTGAATTGCTGTGAGAGAAAACACGGTTATGGCTGAAAAAACAAGCCGAACGAGCCAGTTTCTGGGTAAGCCGAACGGGTATATTATAATGAAATGTTGCCATGTTGGGTATGGAGTTGGCATGTCAACCGGAACCGGGGGCTGCTACAGTGCTACGTGCATTACGTTAAGCTATCCTTATCCGCAATTAAGACATGGACCGGGACCAGTTTAGAGCGCCATGATGATCTACAATTACAATATATATATACATCCATTATTAGGCGTGCTTTCCGGCCTAATCCCATTCCAATCCATCCTCGTGCAGACGGGCCGAATGGACGGAACAAGGCCGCCGCGATGTTCATCGCCCAACTAACGGCAGCCCGATTGTTATGAAACAACCAACCTGCATCCGGATGCCGGGATGCGGCGCGAACGCTGCCGGAGACCGGAGTGCGCGGCGGCACGGTGAAATGGAGGCGACCCCGAGCGAGTCCCCCGACCCGTGCCACTGGTCACCGGTGGCGGCCTGCGCCGCCCGCCGCCCCGCGGCCGCGTGCACGCCAAGAAAAGGACCCCCGTTTCCATTCGGGGGCCCGGCAGATCGCGTCATGCGTGCGCAGGGTTCCGCTCCCGCGCCGCTTTTTCTGCCCCAGACCACCGTGGTGGGCTCGGCGGTTTAACGGACCAAGCAAGCAGCGTGTTCCGGTGGCCTCGTGCGGCGCCACCCACCCACCTGTCCTGCGCCCGCGACGCCCGGCCGGCTGCTTGCCTGCCTGCCCAGCCACCCAAGGGTGGAAGTGGAAGTGGAAGCAGCACGAGTGTACGTACCTACAGCATCAGCAACGTGGCCGGTCAGTGACTGTGACGGCGTTCGGCGGCGCGGTATGTACACGACGGTCGACGAGGGCGCGCCGACGCCGGCCGAATGCGCTGGACAGGCCTGTAGCGTAGGCGTAGCTCGCCCTGTGTACGCCCTGCTTCCTTCTTTTAATTTGGGTGATTGGTTGGTTTATATGTAGCATAATATAATATAATGATACTGTGTAACAGGTTCTCTCGTACTACTGCTGTATTAGCAAGCGGAGCCAGAAAAGGGATGGCGCGGCTGCTGGATGGGCCAGCCAACTGCCAACAGATGGCGGGCTACCTGAATTTGGGCCCAATTCTAGCGTTTGGGGCCCGGCCTAAGAACTACCCGAGATGAAGTGGCGTGGTGCAGGTGCAGCACGATGGCCTGCGGCTACTTCATCCGTTTCAAAATAAACATGTTTCTCGTCTCTTAAGAGTTATTTTTAAAACGGAATTTAACTAAGAATATAAAAATGGCATCAATTTGCATCTTCAAATAAATGTATTGCTAAAGTATATTTCATGCTTAATTTAATGATGTTTATTATTTATTGTAAATATTAGTATATGTATATATCTAGTGCGAAATTAAAATATTTCACTCTTCGAAAAGCGATTTTTGGGACCGAGGGAATAAACCCTATATACTACTACTTACATGTGCATACCAAAAGCAATGAACCAATCATGCCAGCTACTTACCGCCTGCAACTTCAACACAAGGCACACGTACAAATCTTGCACTGTATTCCTCTACCTGTCTGCTCTTTACTTCAGAACGGATTGCATGGAGCTTGTGAGGAACCGACACGACACGGTTATACTCCCTCCGGTTTTCTAAAGACGTTATTTTGGACAGCAACGCGGTCTCTAAAAAACAACTTTAACCATTACTTCTGGCTATAAAATATTTATAAAATATAGTTAATATATACTTTTATGAAACTGCATTTCGAGATGAATCTACTTACATCACTTTATATTTTCAAATTTAATCCAAAATTTTTTATTTATAGTTTCAAATTTAATCCAAATTTTTTTATTTATAGTTAGAGTTTAAAATATTTAACTTAAGACAACCTCAAAACAACGTATCTTGTTGAAAATCGAAGGAGTATGATACAGCGCATGCCACGTCTCCAATGTAGCTCCCTTACTGGGAGTAGCTCCCGTCATTTCCCCAATTCCCCGTCCAAGCACTCATAGGCATGGGAACCAGTACTAGCATCCAAACGGGCCTCGCATGACGGGATAGAGTCCAGAAAACCCCACTTTGACTACGGTCTACGTGTGGCACTTTGGGTGCACGGACTAGGGACGGAGAACGTCAGAACGCACAAATACAACGCAACGACTATCTGTCGCCTGCGCGGGTGACCATCGCTACTCCAGGGGGACCCCATGCATGCGTCGTGCTCTTGTTGGCGCATTGCCATTTTCTTCCTCTCCTGTACCGCGCACGTTTCTTCCTCATGATCTCACCCCGCCTCGCACATCTGTCCGGTTATTATGTATGAATTCTTGGAGGTGGAAGTAGAGAATCTGTATAAATTATTTTGTTCAAAATTCAAATAAAACATAAGTACTTAAATTATTTTAATTAAGCTTACAAATTGTATAATCAGTGAGGATCTCAGGGCTAGAGCTGTATCAAATAATAAGCCCCAAATTGAGGAGACATGGATTGAGGATGTGGAGTGAGGCTACGAGGAAACCCTTAGTCATTTTTTGACTAGCTGCGGATGTGGGTTAGGTCGATGGCATTGGCGGAGTAGGAAGATCCACACATAGAGAGATGGTGAGACGACACGGTGAGATCCTAAGTCAAGTTGAGATAAGCTAGTGGAAACATAGGGAGCAAGCAGTATGGCGTAAATATGGGCATGAGTGTAACCTCCATTGTAAATCACCAAATAATGAGAACCAGAGGCGGAACCAACAACTTTAATTAAGGGGGGCCGGACAAATATGATGACACACATAAGTATATATTTCAACTACTTTTTAAGTGCTTCTACATGTGTAGTTAGTATTCATAACGAAAAATAGAAGAATTGCCGCATTTTCACAATATTATGATTAAAAATAGACGAATTGTCGCATTTTTATGCTATAAATTAACAAACTTTATAGGAATATTTAACAAATTTTTACCGTGTGTGTGTGGGTGTGGGGTGGGGTGGGGGGGGGAGGTGGCCCTAGGCCCCCCTGGTTACGGCTCTGATGAGAACACACTGATTACCGTACCCTTTGTCCATTGTAAATCACTTGGAGCATACCTAACTCAATCCTCGAAGCACAGTGGACAGGTTGAGGCAGTTGTACTGATAGCTGCATGAGTAGTACATAGTAAATAAAATAAAAAAGGGAATTAGTTATTACACTCTACATATACATACAATAATTAAGAACGGACAATTTTTTATATAATAATATAAGTAATATACGTGTCTGTGTTACGTACCTGGGCCTGCTGAGGTTGATGGCTGTAACCATGGTGACCGCTAGGGTTCCAAGCGAGATCTTCTGCAGTACGTTATTCTGCACCCTAGCGAGATTCTTGGCGGTGGACTTCGCCATGATGACTTGAAAAATAGTGTTCTTCTTCCCACAACGACTCACGAGCGCTAGAGCGTCCTTCGGGCTATCCAACACAGAATCGACAATCGAGCGTCCTTGCAACCAATGGGTGACGGATCATTGGCTCCGCGCTCGCTGTCAGCATATGTGCACCAACCCGCAGACGTGGTCTGCCACCTTCTCGATAGCCTTGCACTCTCTCTCGTTGGTCCTTGCAGTCTGAACGGCTTCCTTGATGGCCAGACCAACGTCAAGGATCTTCTTGACGACATCAGCCATCAGCCATCGTGATGGTTGTACCGTGCCTAAGAGTGACGTGATTAATCTGTACTCCTATATAAGTAAGATTCTAATCTAGCTAAAAACAACCGTTGAAGGTAGTGAGACTAGAAGTGGTTGCACTTCTAGTTAGTGGCGGTGGGGGGCTGAGACCTCCCC